AGTGATTTTTTACTGGAAAATTTTGAAATTTTGTTTTAATGAGATCCTCACTTTCCTCTTTTTTCTGAAAAATTTCCACAATTATTCTTTTGCCAGTTTTCTAGAAAAACAATAAAATGTAAGAAAATGAATTTTGCTTAAAAAAGTCAATTTTTCCTTAGTTATTGCATTTTCGAAAAACTCATAATTTTCGTGATTCCCCCATAACTTTTTCGTAATTTTCCCATAACTTCAAAAATCATAATTTTTTCGTAATTCCCGTAATTTTTTGTACTTATTTTTAATTCTCCTAATTTTTTAAAAAACTTCGTTATTTTTAAATTCTCCCCAAGTTTTGTAATTTTCATAATTTCAAAAATTCGTGATTTTCATAATTCCTATAATTTTTGTAATTCTCTTTATTTTTATAATTCCAGTAATTTTTCGTAAGTCCTGCAATTTTCCGTAACTTTTCAAAAATTGCGAAAAAGTGAGTGTCAAAATTGCTGGAAAGTGACGTTGGAATTACGAAAAATAGAAGTAAAAATTACGGAAAAATGAGGTTGGAAATGTTGGAATTAGGCAATCCAACGACCTGTCCAAATGGCGTCTGGTTGGCAAACAATAAACAAAACACATATGTTTTTTTTTGGCAGGATTAAGCCTAGTACTCATAACAGCGAAATTTGCTCTTTTTTGACATTGCATCGACAATTTGACGTTGAAAAAAGAGCGAATTTCGCTTTTATGAGTACCAGGCTTTATCAATACACGGGACGAGTTCTCAAATCTGACACTTTTCTGACATCGTTGACATGTAAAAACCCGTATTCTAACCTCATAAAAATTTCAAAATGCCGGCTGGTTGGCAAAAGTCACGTGGTTTGGATTCCCTAATTGCGAAAAAGTTGAGTAAAAATGGCGGAATAGCAAGGTTATAATCGAGAAAAAATGAGGTTATAAATACGAAAAACAAAAGTAAAGATTATGGAAAAATTAGGTTGAAATTGCGGCAATGTGAGGCGAAAATCGCGGAAAAGTGAGCTTATACTTATTGAAAAATGAGGAAAGAATAACGGAAAAGTGAGGCAAAATTCGCGGAAAATTTTGTTGAAATTGCGAGAAAGTGAGTTTGGACTTTGAAATTGCGGAAAAGTGAAGGTTAAATTGCGAAAAAAAATTGTTGAAAGCCGTTATTTCTTTAAATAAATTTCGTTATTTTTAAAATTTTTCCTTAGTTTTTGCAATTTTCGCAAAACTCCTAATTTTCGTAATTCCCATAACTTTTTCCTAATTTTTTTAATTTTTCGGAACTTTCCAAAATTCCCGTAATTTTTGAATAATTCCTGTTGTTTCTCAGATTTTCGTAGTTTTTTAATTTCTGTAATTTCTCAAAATATTCAGTTACCTACTTATTTTATAATTCCCCCTAAGTTTTTTTTACTTTCAAAAATTCGTAATTCTCGTAATTTTCAAAAATTTTTTATTGTGAATTTTCATTATTTCCGTAATTTCTCAGATAATTCTCCCTATTTCTATAATTCTTCATTAGTCATTGCAATTCTTGGAAAACTCGTAATTTTCGTAATTCCCGTAACTTTTTCATAAATCCCGTAACTTACCAAAAATTATCGTAATTTTTTCGCAATTCTCGTGATTTTTCCTTATCTCTTCCAATCTTTATATTTCCTGTAGTTCCTCAAATTTTCGTAATTTTGTAATTCCCGTAATTTCTTAAAAAAACTCCGTTATCTTTATAATTCCCCCCCAGTTTGTTGTGATTCTCAAAAATTGGTAATTCCCGTATTTTTTTTTTCTTGAAATTTTCGAAAATTCTTAAATTCCCGTCATTTTTCAAAAAATTCTCGTTAATTTCATAATTCCCCCTTAGTTTTTGCAATTTTCGGAAAATTCGTGAATCCTGTAACTTTTTGTAATACTTGTTTTTTTCGTAATTTTTTGAAAATTGTCACAATTTTTTTAATTCTCGTGATTTTTTCGTATTTTTCATAATTTTTGAATAATTCCTGTAGTTTTCAGATTTCCGTAATTTTTTAATTCCTGTAATTTCTCAGAAAACTCCGTTATTTTCATAATTTTGAAATTATATAAGTCTCGTAATTTTCGTATTTTATTTTGGGAATTTTCGAAATCTTGTAATTCCTGTCATTTCTCAGATAATTCTCGTTATTTTCCTAATACCCCTTAGTTTTTACAATTTTCGAAAAACTCAAAATTTTCGTAATTTCCATTACATATTTTCGTAGTTTTTTAATTTCCGTAATTTCTCAAAAAAATTTCGTTAGTTTTATAATTTTCTTTAAGTTTTTGAAATTTTCGAAAATTGGAAATTTCCGTATTTTTTTTGGGGGATTTTCGAAATTTTTTAATTCGTGTTATTTCTGAGATAATTCTTGTTATTTTCTAATTCCCCGTTATTTTTTTCAATTTTTGGAAAACTTGGTAATTTTCGTTATTCCCGCAATTTTTCGCGCTTTTTCCAGTAATTATTTTAATTTTCAATTTTCCTAATTTCCAAAAAAATTCGGAATTTTCTAATTCTCCCTAAGTTATTGTAATTTTCGTAATTTCAAAAAATTGTGATTTCCGTTATTTTGGGAATTACCGTAATTCACGTAATTTTGAAATGACTTTGTAATTCTTTTCCGTAATATTTCGTAATTCCCGTAATTTGTCTTGTTAGTTTTCGTAACTTTTCAAAAATTAGTAATATTTAAATAATTGACGTAATTTTGGAGTGACTTCGTAATTCTTTTGCGTAATATTTGGCAATTCCCATAATTTTTGGAATTGCCGCAATTTTTTGTTATTCCGTGATTCTCGTAATGTTCCGTAATTCTCGTAAATGTTTGCAACTCTCTCTAATTTTTCATATTTTACGTACTTTAGCGTAATTCCCGTAATTTTTCATAACTTTTCAAAAATTATCGTTATTTTCGTAATTTTGAAATGAGGAAAAATGAAGATAAAATCGTGGAAAGTGATGATAAAATCACAAAAAAAAGAGTCAAAAATCGCAAGAAAAATATGAGTCAAAAATTTCAAAAAGAGTGAATTTAAACTCGCGGAAAAGTAAGATGAGACTCACGGAAAAATGAGGATAAAGTCACGAAAAGTAAGGATAAAATCGCGGAGAATGAAATATGAATCGCGGAAAAGTGAGGATAACATCGCAAAAAAAAGTGAGACAAGAATCGCGGAAAAATGAGATTATATTTACAGAAAAGTCGATTTACAATCGTGAAAAACTGGATTTAGAATTGCGGTAAGTGATGGTAAAATTGCAAAAAAATGAGTCAAAAATAAAAAAAAAAATATTTTTCAAAAATCACAAAAAAAGTGAGGTGAAATTAGCAGAAAAGTGGAGATAAAATCGCGGAAAGTAGGGGAACAATCGCGGGAAAATGAGGATGAAATAGCAGAAAAATAAGTTTGTAATCGCCGAGGGGGGAGAGACAAAAATCGCAAAAAAGTGAAAACAAAATTGCAAAAAAGTGGGTCAAAAATCACAAAAAAAATGAGTCAAAAATTTCAAAAAAAGTGAGTGTGAATTTGTGAAAAAGTGAGATAAGAATCGCGAAAAAATGAGGTAATATTTGCGGAAAAGTGGGTTTACAATCGCGGAAAAGTGATAGTAAAATCTAAGATTTCTAAATTATGACGTCATCAAATTGGATTTTTCAATGAATAATAAATTGGAAGCATCTTTCCTACATAAAATTATTGAATTTGACATTTATCAAAAGATCCAAACAACCAGCACCTTGTTTTACAGGTAATGAAATGTCTTGTCAGTTTCTTGAAAGTATGTCGTGGTCAGTAATTATTTTTGCTAGAAATGCAACAAAATACAGAAGAAAGAGAAGATTGCATCGATCCCTTGAAAAATATAGATGAGGCGGCCAATCGGGCTACCTCAGTTGTTCCAATTTTACCATTAATATCAATGTAAATAACTAAAAATACAAACATTTTTGACGTTCGCTTTCAAAATTTGATGTTTCATTTTTAACACTAGTGCTATAAAGACTTTATGGCACTAGTGCGATAAAGTAACATTTTTAATGCTACGGGGGGTGTTAAAAATTGCATTTTTGACACGTTTGTAGAAAAAGTTTTTTTTTTTAAAGATAAAAGTCAAAATGACATTAAGTTGGCAATGCAATGTAAAATTGTCAATGCTTTCAAATTTTTTATGTAGAAAAGGCTTGTGTTGCCAACATAGTTATTGAATTTTTGACTTGGGGAATTATCTTTAAAAAAAAACATACTTTAACTTTCCCCAGAAAAGTGTGCAAAATTTGAAAATAGGCATGCGAAATTGTGCAAATTTAGGTGAATAGGAATTTTTCAAGTTTTAGACAAACAAGGGGGAACGGTCAAATTTGCCCCTAGTTTAAAAAAATGCTCTAGTTTTCATTGTGTTGTGTGCAAAATTATTATGGTTTAGGTATTTATTTTTGAAATTTGTTTAATACAGGCGGAAACTTGACCGACCCCAAAATTTACTTGTTGGTAAATAAACCGATCTACTGGAAAATAAATAAATAATTCATAATTCGAAATTAAACATAAATTTCTAAGTGGCAAATTTGCCAAATATACTGAAAAAAAAACCTAAAAAAAATGATAGAATAGCATCCATCTATGATATTCGTTGGTAAATTATCAAATATGTTAGAAAATATATGCTTAATTTCCTAATTCCTTTTGGCACGCGTCTGTCTCCCTATGCACGCAAAGCAAATATTTCACTTTAATAACTTCATTCAGAGAAGCAGACACGGATGCTGGCTCGCTGGCTGGACGCTGAATCAACAGCACTGACAACTCGGCAACAGTGGGCAATAGACTCGAGCCAGCGTCCACACCGGCAAAAGCCGGCGTCCATCGAGGTATCAAAAATCAGAATACGGACGAGACTTCTAGAGACGTTAGTCTATAATATTCTTTGGTTACCTCTAGATAGTAAATAATTGGAAAAAGAATTCTTTACTCACAACAACAGGCTTGAGTAATCCAACAAAGGTACAAAACCGTCCCCGTTCCTCTATCAAAGCAGCCCTAACGGCGTGTTTTTCAGTCTCTTCTAGTAATTGACGTCGTTCCGTAACATCCTGAAGACCGCACTCGAAACGTTTCTGTACATCACCACCAGCACCTTTTCGCATCTTCTTCTGTAGCCTCAGAGTATCGGTAGAGCGTTTTTTCAATTCAGCACGGGCCCGTTTATAGTCTACAACAAAATTTTATTGAAACAAATGTACAAATTCACAAAAGTTTTCTTACCTCTTGCATGTTCTTTATCTAAATTTAGTACCGTTTTTCGCCATTCTTCAAGTTTTTCTTGAAGCGGTATTATTAGGCATTCCATAATGACCCTGTGAAAAAAAAAAAACAAAACCTAACAAAATCGTTTTTTCATAAAAATATCGTCACATTTCTGTGAGTATGGTAGTATAGTCGTCTCCTAAATAGAATATTTTAGAAGATAAAAAGAACCATTTTTGAAGATAATACTCTATTATGTACCAAGAGACTAAAATGTCGACTCCTCAAAATTACCATAATTGATTTTTCAGCCTCATTCTTGCTTTCTTCATGTGTTTTTTTTCGGTTACTGAATTTCAAATTGTGTGAAATAAAACTTTTTAACTCATTATTTGTTTAATTTTTCTACTTTGTGTCCGGTTTGAAAATACTACATGTGACAGTTACACTTACACGTTCCTATACCCACTTTAATAAACGATTTTAAGGAAACAAGAATTTGTAAAAAAGAAAAATTCTCACCCTGTAAATTGTTTCATCCGATTCTCAACTGCCTTGTGCCGCAAGCATATTCTGGTGAGCGCTGTTCCTATTTCTCTTGTAGCTCCTGAAACAAAACAAAATTATTTAATTTAGAGTACAAAAGCGCAATTAAAGTGAAGGCGAAGGGCCTCAAACAGCATTTGTACCTGTGGTACATACAACATTTTATTTACAACCACGAGTATTATGTTTTGATTTAAATATAAATAGGAATTTTTCGGCTTAGTCGTATAGTAGTTAGTCAATATTCATCTATTTATTGGACACTTCAGAATTTCTTAACTGCATATACATACATAATATATGTATTGTTTTGAAATTATAATGCTAGAACAAATCTAATTATTTTGGAAAGAAATTATTCAATAATAGTTTCCAGGATATTTATAGATTATTTTGAAAAGCCTAATTGTAATTATTTATTTTGTTCAGACAAATCTCACAAAGGGTTATTCTTCAATACGTTTTCCGCATTAAAACGACAAAAAAAACATATGGATGTAACACAGGTGCAAGCAATGCGAGCACCAAAGAATAAAACGAGAAGACAATGTAAACCTGGTGTAAGATGCAACATCCTGCTAGTTGATATACATACATCCTGCTCTGTTTAAGACTGTTTTACAGTGGACATAAAATAACAGTTAAATTTTAAGTTCGTGCGCAATATAATTTGTCCTGCTATTTCTGCTATACATATATTTCAACGGAAACAAAATGCAAGAAATGACCAACTCGAGGATGCTCTTCCACATTAAGTGGTTAGAGAAAATGGCAAATGTAGCTTGTTGTACTTTACCTACAAAAACCACACATTCAAGATTTCCAAGACAAGAACATTCACAGTCAAAACATGAAACAGCCTAGCGATTTCAACAGGTGAATGCGCTTACTGCCAAAAAAAAAGGATACTGCATTGATAATTATTGTAATAAACTTAAATACGATAATTACTAATAGGAAGCTCTGTTTTTCATGCTTGAAGAGTAGTCATCATATCACGAAGTTCAAATCCAGAAAATCCTGTGAAGTAGATAACTGCACACGACCTCACAATAAATTTCTACACAAGATTCAAGGAACAAGAGACATCCATAGCAGTCAGTTTAGACGGGGAGATTAAATAAATAATCAAGATGACGAAAATAATACGAATTTTACCAACAGCCAAAAACTACTGACTACTAGACAAGACAAAGAAAAGTAACGTTTCACTTAGAATATGGTAAATGTTATTCTTTATGATCCGAATGGTACTAGAGTAACAGTAGTAGCTCTTTGTGACAAGGCATCGACAATTACTCTGATTGATGAGTCACTTCTTGAAAGTCTACGTAAAGGGGAACCGAGAATCTTTCTGCGTGCAGTGAACTAACGAAGTTGTAAGAACCAATGAAGATTCCGTATGTTTCGATATTTCTGTATCAGCTAATTACCATCAGGCCAAACAGTTTAAATTAAGAAAGGTCCGTTCTGTGAAAAAGCATGCTCTCCCAAATCAACACGTTTTGAAAAGTCAATGGCAACATTTTTCACATTTAGCAGGTTTACCTCTTCAAGACATAAATAATCCACCTTTGCTTTTGATTGGCCAAGATAATATACGGCCCTGCTTATTTACCTATAAGCTACTAAAATCATGTTATGCTGGATTCTTCATGGACACTACAATGATCAGCATTCAAATATACCCAGAACACATTTTTTTTTTCATATTTGCGAATATACGACGAAGGGACGAAGAATTACATCAACTAGTAAGACATTCATGTTCAACCGACGCTTTTGGAGTTTCTAACGTATCCTCAGTTAACATGAAAGAGAAGAGAGCACTGGACATTATGACGCAGCAGCACGACAAGTTGACAACAGATATGAAATTGGACTCTTATGGAAAGTTAAATAAATAAATTTACCTGAAAGTAAGTCAGCAGCGATCCGAAGACTTAACTGCATAGAAAGGAAAATGGAAAAGGACCCTACCCTGAGACTGAAATATGGTAACTAAATTTATAGCTAGGTTGAAAAAGGATATGCTAAAGAGTTGACAGACATAGAGGCCAAAATCGAAAGCCCAAGATGTTCGTATTTACCACATTTCCCAGTATTTAATCCAAACAAGCTTCGATTAGTATTTGACGCTGCTGCTAAATCCAATGGAATGAATCTAAATGATAGCCTGTTACCTGGTCCTGACCTTTTGCAGCCTCTGGTGGAGGTACCTATGAAATTTCGCCAAAGCAAAATAGCCTTTTGTGTTGATGTTAGAGAGATGTTTCACCAAGTTCACATAAAAAAAGAAGACCAGGCATCACAAAGATTTTTACGGAGATCTGACACTAAATCGCCATATAAAACCTTCCAAATGCAAGTTATGATTTTTGGTGCAACTTGTTCACCCGGATGTGCTCAGTTTGTGAAAAATCTTAATCCCAAACACCATACAGACGATCCAGAAATTCTTGATGCAATCATCAAAAAACATTACGTAGATGATTATTTGCGACACTGAAGAAAGGGTTCGCTGTACAGAGAATTGAGATGATTAAAAAAGTACAAAAATTGGGAGGTTTTCAATTAACAAACTGATTTTCCAATTCAGACAAGGTTATGAAAATACTATCAGGAAATTCTGAAATATGTAAAGACTTAAACATGGACAATTCTTCGATCCAGAGAGTTATGGAACTTTATTGGGATTCTAAAATGGATACGTTCTGTTTCAGAATTAACACTGTTGACAGAGAGATTTCTAAAACTTGCCGACCGACTAAGAGGCAAGTTCTAAAAATTGTCATGTCAGTTTTTGACCCTTTAGGTTTGGTAGTCAATTTGTCAATTCGGGGCAGAATACTTATACAAGACATTTGGTGCAGTGGCATTGGTTGGAATGACAGCATAGATGAAGAACTTTTTAAGGTATGGAAATTTTTGTTGAATGATCTTGAATCAGTTGCAGATCTAAGCATTCCCCGATGTTATTTATTCCATATTTCTGAAGCTAAAAGGATAGAGTTACATGTATTCTGTGATGCAAGTAAAAAAGCATTTACATGTGCTGTTTATACCTACAAGTTATTACCAAAGAAATAATTGACACCTCACTTATCATGGCCAAAGCAAGAATTTCTCCAATCAAACGATTTCCATTCCAAGACTGGAATTGCAAGCCGCGGTACTGGGAAGCAGATTGCTTGTCTTATGACTATGAAAAATGCCTTGAACATCAATATTCACCAAATTTACATGTGGACTGATTACTGATTCGACTACTGTTTTGCATTGGATTAAAACAGATGACATAGAACTTGGACAATTTGAAGCTCACAGGGTTGGGGAAATTCAAGAAATATCATACAATACAGTTGGTGCATTGCTTCTGTGATTACTGTTTATTTTACTGTAAGATAAAATTATTATAATATTTAAGCATATGTTTGTACCTATGTATCTTTGGTAAATAAACTTTATTATTATTATTATTATTATTATTATCAAATAGCAGAATTTGGAGATGGGTATCTTCTAAATTAAATCCAGCTGCAACAAGGTAACTACGACACACAATACAGTTATAACTGATTTCAAAACATGGCACTCAGGTCTTGATTTTCTCAAAGAAAATGACGAATTGTTATGTTCTAAAAAAAGATATTTTTGATGAAAATTTGGTGTCTGAAGTCACACGAGAATTACAACCAACATTTTTGGAATTAACTGTGGTAACATGTCAGTTAGGATATGGAAGCTCTCACCGAAACTTGATGCAAAAGGTATTCTTGTGGTAGATTAAACTTGGCACCAGATACTGTGACACTGACAAGAAGTCCAATTATCTTTCCATCAAAACACAGATATACCATGCTACTTATTCAAAAGTATTATGAACAGTTTGCATATCAGAATTTAGAGACTGTGGTAAATGAAATCAGACAACGTTTTTGAATAATACATCTCAGAGCTTCAGTCAAGAGTGTATTTTCAAACTGCCAGTGGTGTAAAACCAAGAAAATTAGACCAATTATACAGAAGATGGGACAGCTACCTAAATTTAGACTGACTCCAGACATTAAACCATTTACATACACTGGCATATATTATTTTGGTCCCTTATATGTTACTGTAGGTAGAATAACAGAAAAGAGTTGGGGAATGTTGTTCACTTGTCTTACAATTCGAGCCATACATTCAGAAGTGGCACATTCACTTACTACCGACGCAACTATGATGGCAATTAAAAGAATGGTAAGTAGAAGAGGGTATCCGAAAGAAATTTATACGGATAATGGTACCAATTTCTGAGGGGCATCAGAGGAATTAAAGAAGCTAGGCAAAGAAATAAACGACTCAAAGATGACGGAGTGTCTTGGAAGTCATGAAATCATTTGGAAGTTCATACCACCAGCATCGCCACATATGGGGGGAGCATGGGAAAGATTAGTTCGTTAAGTCAAAATTACTTTCAATACTTTATTGAAAAATCAAAAGTTAAAAGATGGACTTCTTTTAACACTATTTGCTGAAACTGAAAACATTGTTAATTCTAGACCTTTGACGAAAGTCTCTTCGGATCCAGACGATTTTGAGACGTTGACATCAAACCATTTTATTATGGCAAAGTCGAACGCCGATTCATTCGCCTACAAGATCATGTAGTAACGGTGATCTTAAGAGTTGATTGGAAGAGATGTCAGCAACTAATATACAGGGTGGTTGATTTTCGATAGTTTGATAGGGTACAGCCAAAATGGCCGAAGATACTGAGAAACTGATATACGCTTCCCGTTCTCTTTTTTAGTGTGTCATTTGATGGTGTAGTCAGATCTTGGCCGACAATATTGGTTTGCGAGGTACAGGGTGTTTTTCAAAATCAGCTGTTTTTTATAATCCTCTATAACTTCTTACCAGACGGAGATACAGAAAAAGTGCAAAAAGGAAAAATACGTCTTTTTTTACGTAGAATTCAGTGGCGTACTTAGAAAAAATATGGGGGCTTTATCTTCTGAGATATTTGAAAAAACAAAGATTTTTCAAATGGACACCCTAAATCTTATTGGTTCAGTA